AATGGATAGGATGATGGGGAGGGGGCAGAGTAAGAGATGGATATAGGATGGGGAGAGTAAGAGATGGATATAGGATGGGGAGGGGGCAGAGTAGGAGATGGACAAGATGATGGAGGGGTGGAGTAGGATATGGATGGAAAGATAAGGTGGATGTGGGATTGGAGATAGATGGGATTGGGGGTGGAGTCAAAGTAGACATGGTAGATATGGGATGATGGGATATGGATGTTGGGGGGTAGAATTGTAGATGATAGGATGATGGGGTTGGATGCAAAGTGCAAAACTGTACTTTTGAGGAATTTTCATTATGCATAATCCATCAACCTCACAAATGCACTGCTTATCTAGGCATCCTGGGCTAGTCTGACTGTACTGACCCCACATTCTTCAGGCATTCGTCTCTCTTGTAAAGAACTGTGAAGCCTTTGTATCTCCCTAGTTAGTGGTCTTTGTTGATTTACTTTTAAACAACAGAAGCCTTCCAACACACAGTCTGCACACAGCACTAACTAGGTTTTTTCTCCAAGAGTATAATGAATTTTATGGCTAAGGTGGATAAAATATTTCGTACATCTGTAATCCAAGCATAGGTTGACCGATCTTGTAAAAAATTTGGATGAAGCTTGGTTAGTATACACCTGTAATTCAGTAACCATATTTGTTTAACTTGTCTCTTAACATAAGCTGTTATTACAGGAAAGAAATTCAAATTCATAACAAGCAGCGAGCCATGGTGGCTTTGCCATTCAAGTTTTTTTGGGGGGGGGCGTGGCTTGTTTGTCAAATTTGGGCCTACGTAAAAAATCCAACTTGATAAAGCCCTCTTCAATTAGTTAACTGTGATTTTTTTCCCTTGTTCTGGCTAAATAGAAGCTGAGTGAAGCATAGGCCTGAGTGTACATGTATACATGTAACTGGCATAGTTTTCTCCCCTTTTGTGGGCGTGCTCTGAATTTTTGAGGAGGCATTCTGTTGGACCTTGAATTTGACTTGCACATGCGTGAAGGAGGAATAAGTTGTCACCTGCACCCAGCAGAGACAGCCCATATAAGCCTGCGCACTTGTACGTCATGTCAGACTGCACTTCCATCGTTGAAGACACACCCCGAAGAGAACATATTTGAATATACATGTACCCGTCCAGGGACGCAAGGGCCGGGCAAGGCCAGGATTTTCCGGGGAGGGGGGATGTAAAACACTTTCTGCTTACGCAGGTGGGGGGGGGGGAAACTCTGGGGTGGTTATCCCCCCCCCTTATCTTGGCCCCTGCTTGGTGGGGGGGGCTGGCCATTGAATCACCCCCCCCCCACTCTTTGGTGGTAAGACTAGAGAAACATGGCGGATATTGTGAAGTGATTTTTGGGACTTCCAACAGCCAAAATGCAAGTTCAAGCATTAATAAAACAGACCAAAAAAGGAAGAAAAAGCCATAAACATGCCGTTCTGATGTAAGATTTTACGGAAATACAAGTCAACAAATATTACAGATGTCCATCTGTATTATTAGTGTCCTTTGTTGTCAGTGCCCCCCTCCGTTAGCAAGATGTGGCAAAGGGGGGACCCTCTTACAAGCTATATACATGTACCCAAAGGCTATTGTGCCTACTGCACCCCCGGCCGAGAAATCTGAAAGGAATTCCAAAGATTCCGTCAACACAAAAGAAGACACAATAGAGGAGGGGTCCCCTTTGCCACATATCGTGCACCAAATGACGTAAATGTACACATGTATCATGTCATTATGCCTTCCACCTCAACCCACGCCACGAAACTTGTCATCATGTCGTCCCCCTGCCGCGGATGGCAGCTATCGACGAACGCGAATACCAAACACACGGGGATATGGATTGGTGTGTGGTGGTACGGGTGTGACATCACCATTGCGGATTGGTATCCAGTCTAGCAATTGACCTGGCATTCGGAATGCACGCTCTGGCAAAAACTACCCAAAAAAACGCCATTATGTATTGTGCCAATTTGATATTGCTGAAAGCGTATTGGAAAAATCCCATAACCAAACCTTCCCCATAAGTCTGAAGAAAAAACTATCTGTGTGCAATTTAAAACTAACAAATTACGGCGTATTGTTTGGGCGTGTAGTCCCCGGTTGTACGAAAACGCATGGCTTGGACAAATTAATATGGGATATAGTCGGGCCCCCAAATAATTTGTCCTTGTCATATGCTTGTACTCGTTTACGAATAGGATGCTATGACCCCCTAATCACGCAGAAAGACGCCATTTTCTGGAACCCTGCGCCACAGAACAGCGTCATCCAGCTTTTCAACTTCAGACTTAGGCAGAGTTTCTGCTTCTGGAATTCAAGAAAGGTTTGTATGAGCTGTTGAGATATCGTCCTGCAATGAAGATAACCTTAGCATCTGTTTAGGACTGAAAAACTTTTATTATGACTCACAATTTGAGTCGCTTTCTTCCCCTTCCATCGCACCATCACCACGCCACATGACCACCATGACCACGTTGGCCCGCGTGAAACGTGTTCACATGTCAATGTTTCGATGCGATGGCGATTCACAACCGCATACGGCATTCTACTTGAAAGAATTTAAACGACTACAGTTAAACGACTACAGTTAATTACATGTAAATGTAGATAGCAAATGTAATTAGTATAGCTGAAAAGGGGGTTGATTAAAGCTTTTCTTGAAATTAGGCTAGCAGTAGCTCCTCACCCTGCTCACCTGTCTGGATGCTTTCGAGTCAACTCGTCCCTTGGACAACTAGAACTTAGGGCCTACCTCGAGTTAAGACCACTTGTACCTCCATGTTCGTAACTCAATTGTAACTTTCTTGCTTTTCGTTTTCAGAAAGTCAGTTTGACAAACATATCAAGCATGTCAAGGAAACGTCTCCATAAAACTCCCGGAGATATCTCGAGTGCCAGCATGCTTTGCTGCATTTTCTGCAGTAGGCCTAGCTGGCACTGAGACTGAGAGTTGAAGTGATCTTCAAATGTTTTTGTTTGCAGATAATTAGAGGGAGAGGGACTTTACTAAAGTCTAAATTCTTTCATGGGGAGACTTCAATTTATTTTTACGGTTCTGGGAAGATTTTATTGGACTCTTTCGTTTTGTTGGGGAATGGTGGCTTTGCTTAGGCCTCGTAAGTTTGATGGGGGTTTGTTCTTAATAGAACTCCAAATTGATTGACAGTAATAAGTGATCATGCTATGTTTGGGTCAAAATACCTAACAATACTGAAACAGAATTTCGAAAAATTAGGTACATTGCCATTTAACGCAACAGTGAAGGTTCCAAATAACATGCAATGATGGCTGGCCACGTTGACCAGCTCCAGTTGCCTAACCACGCACCCACATGCGAGACGTCAACACATCTCACTTTAATGTCACCGTACTGCCAGTAGGGAAGACAGTGTAGCCAAAACAGCAAATTAGGTGATGAACACATGACTAAGAAACCAAATTATTGTTCAAGTTGATTGCAATATTATAAGCTCTGATTTATATGAACAGGTGAAAGTAGTTGTTTCGTACACGAAGGTACAAGTTGCCTTTACTGGAGGTACAAGTTGTCCAAGGTGCAACTGGGCAAAGGTACAAGTTCGTACAATTGTGTTGAGTTGATGGTACGGGTTGTCCAAGGTACTAGTTGACCTCTTTCTGTCGGGATAAACATGATAAAATGTCCCATATGTTACCATGATAATAATGGACACTGTAAACAAACATTTTCGATAGGTTGTAGATATTTATTAGATTGGCAACCAGTTTCAGATGTCACAATTGTTTTTTAATAGCCCTATTAGTATTAACACCATGAACACCAGCACCATCAGCATGACCAGCACCAGTTTGACTGAACATGGCCAGTTGAAGGGATGGGGGATACAGAAAGGAAAGAATTCTGTATCTAGTCACTATAAATTTTGAAGCTTTTGGCCTATCTGCTCCAAGTGGAACAAAAGAGGGCAGTTTTTTTGTGTATATGCGTTTGACATGGAGCATGCTGAGTACGCGTAATGTATGAGTGGTCTTTGCGTACATGCATAATGCTTGCAAGAACTCCTTGTAACCGCATGTCTTTCTTTTGCCGACTGGGGGTGCACTTCAGCTCAGGGTGGATAGGCTAAACAAGTTTCAAATGTAAGCTCCCTATGACCTAAAAAGTAAATTTCCCTCAATTTCATTTCTTCCCATGTTGAATGAGCTTGTCTTAAACAAGGTCAAGACTGAAGTGGAATTTGGTGTTTTGTGGTGAAAATGAGATGACCAAATATTGAAATTTCGTAACAGAATTTAGACCTAGCGTAGTCATGTTGGTCTAATTTTAGACACAAGTGCCCGGTGAAAAATTTCCAGAGCAAAAACAAAATGAAATGTCATTCAGTGGTATGTATGTATGTACGATGCTGGTCACAGTAAGATTAGATTTTAAATGCTATTGGATAATCTTTTTACTCTGGTAGAAATCATATTATTATGAGTAACAGTCTGGGTTTTGAATCATGGATGTTGTTCTTGTGGTGCAGTTGTCTTAACCGTCACACCACGCACTGGCTTGGTTCTAAAATAGAAGTTATCTTAAGCGGTATTGTTGCAGTGCCAATTCCATAACAAGAAGAAATGTGTTACCTAGGACGGTGAAGATGAGGAGGTAGTCTATCTGGGTCACAAGAGAAACTACTGAGGTGTCTGTTACTTTCTTACATGAGTATGGAACCTCTAAAAGTCTATTCGTCTGCTCTCTTAGTTCTGATGAAGAAATATTGTGGCCATTCTTCAAACAATTTCTTTTGCTGTATTATTGAAGACAACATAACATCAGTGGTCCAACACATGACATAGTGTTGCCATCAGGTGTCATAATGTCACCTGAAAATATCTTATATTCAGAGTCAACAGAACAACTTGTACACGTTTATATCCCATTTGGCTAAGACTTCTGTGTCTATTGAGAGAGGGCCGTGTCACATGTGAAATTTAAGCTGGCATCCTGGTGACACCCTTTTTTTTAATGTAACAGATTTCCACAAATTTGAAGGTTAAAAACTTTCTTTTTGGAATATACAGATAACAAAAATGTTGATGGAAGATTCTTTTGCAGCAGTCACAGACAAACAAATGTGCACAGATTTGGGAGAATGTGACATGATGATACTGCCATCATTAATCCCATTATCTGAAATTCATGTACAGTATTAGAGTAAGAAGATTTCTATAAACAAAATGACATTGGCAAGGAGCTATCGTGATGTTATCTCAGTTTTTATTAATTTTTGCTCTGTAGCAAGTGCAGTTTCTCAAGGGGAGTTTATTGGTATTTTTGCGTGGTGTGTGTGTAGCTGTGATGAGTGCATTTGTGACATTTCATGGCACAAATTTAAACACCGAGGACTTAATGTAAGCCTGCTAGGTTTTAATACAGCTGCTTTGAGAAGGAAGTCTTTTAGCTGCATTTTGCTGTGTTAAGTCTTCAGGAAACATTACAATCTCTGATACGATGCGGTCATACTTTCGAAAGTCCCAAGTGATAGTGCGTTGCTGTCCCAGTTCATGAAACCACAATCAAGCAAAGAAATGTGTAATTGTTGCAATTGCTGGTGCTAGCACAGTATTTATTGCAAATGCGAACCAAGAGCAAGCTGTCAGTTGTGTGTTTAGTGCTGCAGCGAATTGTGATTAATTCTGCGCAGTTTCATTTAACTTTCCTCCACACATCCGGTTGAATAACCTACAGGGGAAACGGAGGTTTTGAGATTTTGTATCGTAGGGTTACAAAAATGTATTCTTCAGTCAACTGCAAATCTTCAGTGAACTTGCAAACTGAAGACCGAGCCATGCGTACTTTCAGTTTGAGCAGCTGTCAACTTCGAGTTGCTGCATTCGACATCGCAGCCTGTGAAGCAAGCGTTTGCCCTGAATGCGTTTTCTGGAGATACAGAGCAGAGTTACTCCTTGCAATTCAAAACGGTGAGCATATGCGCAGGTGCGGCCATGCGGCGGATGCTATTCGCGGTTTGAACGGTGTGTGCGAGCATTTTGCGCTGGCAGCGAGCTGGAGTCTGTGGCGACTCATGACTTCTGGAGACAGCCTCCTTTGTTGTTCATTTCCCGGTCCTATTCTTGGGTCAACCACCACATCCCTCGATGTAGAGGTAAGAAACACAAGTACCCAAATGTGTTGATTAAAAACTTATTCTGTGTTTTCTTCGCATGGAAAACTGTAAAAAAAGCCCTGTGAAAGCAGGACACTGGTTGTTTCTTTACTTGGAAGTGTCATCTGGCAAACAAAATTTCATAATCAGAGCTTACTACTAAGCTTTTGAAGTATATGTCGGGATGATTTATAAGGGTGCAAAATCAGTGAGGGCTCATTCTTTTTTGGCAGGTTGCGTCTGGTTAAAGTCTCTTAACTTAATACTGGGATCTGTGACCTCTGGACTGAGAGCAAGACTGAAAATATGTAAGTCTTTCTTTTTGTACTGATTTGGAATAACCCATTTGTTTTAAAGATGGCAGTTAGTCATTAATGAAACAAGTGCTTGCGACTGGATTGTGATGGAAAACATGGTAAATGGGGCCAGTCACATCAGTAGCGTTTCCCACAAGACGTAATTTCTGAAGGCGTTTCAACACCCCAAAACATCTTCTGTTTGTGAATAAGAGTGCAAGCTGTAGTTTGATGGAAATGGCACACTACTGTAAATGATCTTAAAAGTTGTTATTGCCATTTGCAATAAAAACTTAATGGAACAGAATTTACCTGTGCAGTTTTTACAGGAAAATACATATTGGGTTTAGCTCAAAACAAAAAATCACTTACTGGTCTCAATCCAGCATCCTCACAAGAGTTGAGTGTTCAAGATAAAAGTAAAACCATCAACGAAATGGTGCTTATGTTGACAGTAACTTCCTGGCCTCCTTTACTTTGGTTTGTGGCTTTAACCCTAACCCTCCTCAAACCTACAAAATCCTTAGGGTAGTTTTGTGGGATTGACACAATGATCGAGGGTGAATGTCAAAAGTGCATGGCTGATTGCAAAGGATGCCATGAGTGAAGGCTGGGGGGTTAGACCTTGAGTTGTTGTTGTTCAGTCATGCATAAAATCAGCCCGATATTTCTTATGAATGAGCGGCACTGCTCAACAATGCCATTCGCACCGCCTCAACATAATGACAGGAATTGCCGGAGGATTTTGAAGGATTGAGGCAGTAGGCATACCTCCAAGTAACATTTTCAAGAAATTTTGGAGGTTTTGTGAGGGAGGAGGGAGAATCCAATGGTTTCACCCCCCAAATTGGAGAATTCTGGAGGATTGAGGAGGGTCCCTAGCAAAATGAGCCTAGGGCGTTGGGGTTAACCAACTGGATTGTTGTCCTTGTCTTTCTGAATGACACTAAGAAATTTATACCAGTCTTATCGTGAATAGTAAAAACAATCTGGAAGGTTTGTTTGGTCATATTAGTGAATGGAACTGTTGGGACAATGGGTTTCAAGTTTTAGATGTCCTTTGATGATAAGCCAATTCAGTATTTCTGTGAGGGCCAAGCCAGGTGGAATATAAACGTTGATGATAATCCAGTTTGAGTATTTTCAGCGCACTTACCCTAATCACTCTAAATCCATCAAAATCCATTTCCACTTTTTGGTGGATTTTGATGGACTCATTCAAGAAGGCCCGAGGTGATCAAATTTTGATGGCTTATGGTGGATTTGGTTCAGCAGGCCTGAAGCACTGGTGTGGCGTTCGGTGCATGTTGTCATTGCAACAATACTGATGATGTCATGTAAGCCGTATGTAATTGGTCCATCTTGTGCAGAATGCCACAGAGGGAGGGCGAATCATGCACAGACATGCACCTGCTGTAACCCTAACCATGCTGAACGCAACGATATCCAGGAGTAGTCACTCTGGGATTTTGCTGATGCAAGCAGTGAACAGAGCCTTTTGGTTCCATTGCTTGGGTTCTTCATGTTCAACAGGCCTCTCACTTTTTCTACACTGGACAGCGAAAGAAACTTGCCACTTCTGTCAAAGGCCACACGTAAAGATTCACTCCATAGAAATAAACAATTTGTGTACACAGGTATGCTGCAATACCCCTTACTAATCACATGCCCAAAAGCAAGTGATTATCTTCATAATAAAGGAGAAATTGACATACACAGCAACTTGGACACTGAATCAAAAGTCACACACAAAAGCACTCTTCACCAAGCAAAAGTGACCCATGAATGGACAACATTTTAAACAACCAAAGACAAAGTGAACACCTGTTTTGTCAAAATGATGTTCATGAGTGGTTTCTGTACAGGGTGTCCCAGAAAAAACCAAACCCTGAAGAAAGGGGTTAATACATGTATGCCCAAACCATGAGATATGAATATAATGTATAAGGATCTTCGAAAAGTAAAAGTAGAACATTATTCTTTCTTATGTTACCTTGATGGTATCCCTCCTGTCATGCATGACAGAAAACCATTGTTTTGAAAATGGGGCATCCAAACTCAGTAGTAACACTTTGGATAAACCAGTGAATGAGGTTGTCCTCTGTCATGCTTGTCCTGGATAAGATATCAGGGGCACACCGAGTTTTTACACATTACATAATTCACATTTAATTATGCACCGACACCTTCCGCGTGTCCAAGACCATTCCTCCTGCAACTGGTTTCCCCTTGGCTGTTGACAAGTTGCTGTTGAACTGCAGTAATGTTTTCAGGAGTTCGCACTTTGCGCCTCCTTCCCGAATGACCCTTATTCAAATTAAGGCTTGTCCCATGTTTTCGGTATTGGCGCATATTTTCCCAGATGGTCGACTTTACCAGTGGATCCCTATCAGGGAAGGCTTCCCTAAATGTAGCTTGGGTGGTTTGAAAGCTTGTGTTTTCAAGAAATTTCATCACAACAAACACTCTTTGCTCTTTGGTAAGTTGCACCATGTTGCAGGCTTGCTGTCCTGCTTTGAACACTTTCAACACTTCACTGGCCTACTTCGGGCAAGTGAACACATTTAAACCAGATTATTGCATAACTTGAAAGTGACAAAAGGCAATCTTCCCTCATTAACATGATCTTTTGTTGACACTTTCAACCAGCACAAGCATGACAGGACAACCTCATTCACTGGTTTATCCAAAGTGTTACAACTGAGTTCGGATACCCCATTTTCAAGACAGTGGTGTTCAGTCATGCATGAAAGGAGGGATACCATCAAGGTATCATTAGAAAGAATACTGCTCCTTTTCAGAGATCCTTGTACATTATAATCATGTCTCATGGTTTGGGCATATCAACCCCTTTCCTCAGGGTTCGGTTTTTTTCTGGGACGCCCTGTATAGGGATGCCATCCTTACTGACTATGCATACACATTATTGAAAAGTAATGATTGTGACTTCTTTATTTCATCCTTTGACATTAATTTCTGCATAAAACTTAAGGCTCATTCTGTTATGTTCTGTGACTTGATTTAGTAACCAAGTTGATGTGCATGTCAATTGTTTTGTTATAAAGATAATCACTTGCTTTTGGGCATGTGATTAGTAAGGGGTATTGATGCATACCTGTTTACACAAATCGTTTATTTCTATGGAGTGAATTTTTATGTGTGGTCGGCCTTTGACAGAAGTGGCAAGTTTCTTTTGCTGTCCAGTTTATTTTGGATTCTGTTGGGTTCAGCAGGATGCTCAGAGAAAACCCAAAGGGGGTTAGGGTTAAGTGTTCCTCTGCATATCCATTAAACTTTCAAACCACAGAAGTTTTGGAAATAATCAGGGGTGTGAGAGTTCAGCTTTTCAAATGATTGTAGCTTTCTCTTGTTTAGATTTTTACTCTTAAATTAGTTTTTGTACCTTCTGTGTACAAACGTCTGGAAACTTTTCAGATGTCAGCTCTTTGCCAAATGTTTTCAGTTTTTTTGGTTTGTGGCCACTCACATCCCTGAATAGCAAAAGTGTAAACTGATAATGTGCACGTGTCTAGGACTATAACAACTGATTGTACTTTATATCATTTTTTTTTTTACTGTAACCACAGTAGCCACTCTCAGCCCCAGAATGTCACATACAGACCACATTAATTAAAAGGTGACTTCTCTTAAATTTTCCTGTATGTTAGGCCCCCCGCAACCAAAAATACTACTGCTTCTGATTACTTGCCTTTCAAAAATAGGATCGATATCAGTGTTCTACCTAAGGCCATTTTAGTGCCGGTTAAATTTTTGGATTGTGAAGTGTAGCCGGACAGGATTTGCGCCCTCTATTGATACCGCTGTTTGGCTGGTCTTGGGCCAAGACTACGAACACATGCTGCCTCGAAGAGGGTACATTATATCCCAAAATTTCACATCTGGGTCTCATAACAATGCTAGCTAGTTGTTCTCAATGCTTTCTGATGCTTGAAATACAATCAAATTGGTACATTTTCAGTAATATTTTTGTTCATTTTTTGAAAATTTGTGCTGGGCTGCACTGCCAATTTGAACCTGAGAGCCGGGCGGAAATTTGCAGTACCAGGTGGTGCCGCCCAGCGCCGCCCACCGTGGCAAGAACACTGGTCGATAGGTCAGAAATTGATTGGGGGGGGGGGAATTTTTGTGCTGAAATTATTAACCCTAACTGCCCAAAACCTACCATACTCCAACAGCAGGTTTTGTGAGGTTTTGGCAGGTTTGGTACCGTATCACTCAAACTCCAACGGGCTCATTCTGTTGGAGTTTAT